CTCATAGCTATACTATGCTATTCCCTCGAACTTGGGAATATAAAAAATGTAAATAATGAAATAATAAAGAAAGAAATTAAATTAAATGAAAATAAAATTTAAAATAAGAAAAGAGAAAAAAAGAAATTAAAAAAAAAAACTAAAAAAGAAATTAGAGAAGCCCAAGGCCGTTATAAAATCTAAGCCCAACCTACTTTCTCTTAAGCCCTAACAGAAACCCTCTCTCTGTTTAACTGGGAGTCTGCGTTTACTTTTCTGCTTCCTGCCTGCACGCCCGAAACCTCTTCTGTGTTTGGTATCCCGCCTTCTCTTTTTTCTCCTCTTCGCAGACATCATTGCTGTCTGATAGCTCAGTTTGACATCTCCTCAAATAACCGCCGAAAGACTTCCTTGTAACAAAGATTTCCGAGTTTCTGCGGGCAGGTAACCATCTCAACCTTTTGAATCTACATGTTTTGATATTTAAGTTGTTGTTTGCCTTCGTTGAGAGTTGATTTTTAGATTGCTGAGGCTTCACTCTTGTTGATCTGTGTATTTTTTTTTTTAAACTGTGGTGATATTTTTGGTGCGGTTTTCGTTAGGCTTCCTGTGTTTCATTCGTCTTTTTTTTTTTCCAGAAAAAAATAAATCTTCTGCAGCTTATATATTGGTATTTTACTCACTGTTTTCACTGATTATGGGAGGAGTATGCATGCGACGGTCATTTTTCTCTTATCCTCTTTCCTGTCTTTCTCTAAAAAATGCTAAAATTATGCCTAGTGAGGTTCCAAAGTTGCTTTCATTGCGTGTTTTGTGGCTGGATTTTGCATTTCTTTTCCTATTATTGATTGGGGTTGATCTAGGAATTGCTTAAATCTATTGTTGAGTTTGATTCCCTTGCACATGTTTCCTTGTTTTTTTTTTTTTTAGTTTTACTTGGTTAATTCTGTTAATTGCTTGTGTTGTCTATGAATAGTGTAGTATTTGGCTCATGAATAAATTGCCTAAACCTCTGTTGAAATGCCATCTTTGATTGAGTGGTTGATAGTGCAATGAGCTGAGTTTTGGAGTGAATAGTGTAGTATTTGGCTCATGAATAAATTGCCTAAACCTCTGTTGAAATGCCATCTTTGATTGAGTGGTTGATAGTGCAATGAGCTGAGTTTTGGAGCATGTTAAGTCTGGTTTAAATTTGTATTACAATTAGTCGGAAATTATGTCAGTCCTTGTGGTTACATGTAGATTGGTCTGATACTAGTATAGAATGGAGATTTGAGGCCATCAAGTATGGATTGTTTTATTGGCTTTGCTTGGTCCATGAGAGGGCTGATAAAATATTTTGGCTATTTTGATTGATTATTCAAGCCTCATGTAGAAATTAACCGAATCAGTTAGTTGGGACTTTGATATGTGGTTGTGGGTCTTTCTTACAATGTTTGCTTGAACTTTTTTGGAGTTGACTTCTATATGATGGTTTTAGGGTCGATTGAGCAGCCAATTAGTGATTCTACCTAATTTACCATCCTCTTTGAGTCAAGAGTTGAAACGAAAACCAAGGAGATTCTTGTATGTGTCTTACCCATGTAACTCACATAAATTTTCCTCAACATGCAACTTATGGAATAGGATGAATCCTTCCACATTTACTACCTCTTTAGATTGAGAACATGTTGGTTTTGGATTCAATTGGCTTCCTCTTGCATAGTTGATGATCATTTACATGACTGATTTGGAATTTATTGTAAACTTGAGCTTTCTGTAATATACGTGTGCTAACATATTACAATGTGAACTCTATACTCATGCTTAATTAGAATTTTGCTTCTTTTCTATAGACAGTAATTCCTTTCCTTAAAATCCCTCCTCTATATATCTTTTACATGGGCCATAGAAGTTAATGTTTGCATTTTTTTGGGTCATTTCCTCTTCTGATTTGTCCATCTTGCCAGTTCTAATCTAATGTGCATCTTGTAAAGTAAAGATGCTTTTGTAAGAAATATTGAACTTTGCTTTCTTTTCTTTTTAAAAAATGTTATGTTTTTGCAGGTCTGATAGATTTTCTTTGATTATCTATTATTACTGATTTAGAATGGCTGCCAACAACTCTCAACCTACGGGAATTGATAAAGAACAAGTAAGTTCTCATTTTTTTCCCATTATGAGCTTTTTGCATATGTAGCTACAAAGAAGCAAAACTCTTAAGATTTGTTTTGGGCTTTTTGTGCATTAAAACTAAGGAACTACTGGTTCTTTTTTCCTTATTACCTCAAAAATATGTGGGTTCTGTTAATTTGTGGTGGATATTATCTGCTATTGTTTTTAGCCTGTTTTTTATGCTCTAAAGACAGTGGGATGAAACTAGAAAGAATCTCCACTTTTTTAGTTTGTTTTCTTATTTTGAAGCTGTTGTTTTGATGTTCTAGTATATCAACTAGTGTGCTTTTAATGCAGAATGGATTAATTAGACTTTCTAAGTATAGTAGGGGTTCTGTTTCTAGTTAATGTAAAAGTATTTATTTATTTTTTAGAGGAAAAAAAGTATTATTGACAAGGCATGAAGGGTGTTCCACCCTAGTACAAAGAAGCTTTACAAGTTTAGACTAGAAACCAAAATATTGATAGGTTTCTTAAATTGTCTTCACGCTAAGAGGCTGACCATCAAACAAAAAATTCATGGTCTGGAACGGTGCAGAATGAATTAGTTCTAGATTCCCTAAATAGCTTAGAAATCATAATTCTGATATAAAATTACTATATTGTGTAGGTGTATATAATTATGGTTTTAGTAACTTTAGGATTTTATTCTTATCAGTATTTAGTTTTCCTATTTGTATTAGTAGTATTATTTCCCTTTCTTCTCTTGTTTTATCTTGGCTAGAAATAGGGAGGCTTTGCAAGAGATTACCTATGCCTTTTTGCTTGTTATGGGTTATAGGGGTTGTGAGAAATTTGATAATTGGGAGGAAGAAGAATATAAATTTCACACTTTTTATTTCAAAAAAATGTTATTATCCTTCATTTCCTCTCCATACACATTTAGGGGTCTGGGTGAGCTGTGCTAGACATCATCTCCTCCTCTGTGAGGTACCAAGTCATCTACTTCACGGTGTCTCTTCTCCTCTTGCCTCTGCTGTACTGCTTTTTAGTTTCTTTGGTTGAACTAGGTCATCGGTGGGTCTGTTTTTTTCATAAGATTTGGATTTGTCAGAGATTTTTGTGTTAAAAAGAGAAGAAAGCTGATTTCTCTTATCCTCTAGCTACCTTGGATATCATCAGGAAAGAGAGGGACCGGAGTGCTTTTGAGAGAGTTGTCACCCTTTTGGTAGAGTTAGAGATCCATGGTTCAAGACTCCATGTTTTTTAAGGGTCATCATCTTACTTTTCATGCGGATTTAGCACACATAATTGGCATATTGCTAAATTTGTAAATTTTTGCCATTTTGCATGAGTGATGGTGCATTGTTAGCAAAATAACTTTTTCTGTCAAAAAAATGCAATCTCTCTTCTGAGTCAAGGCTGAGTGAATAAATTATCATGAGAATTCTCTAAATATCTTGGTAGCTGGATGCATTCAATTTTTAGTTGTGATGCTTATTTTCTTTCTTAAATGTGATGTCTAAGAACTCTTTAAGTATAATATCTAGGTTTTTTCCAAATCCGTAAGTAGCTAAAGTAGTCATTATTCATATATCACCCTATCTTTTGGTTTTTGTTTGGTTATGAATTGTCTATTAAAGCTTGCCTTCTGATTTTTCCTCCTCATTGTGGATTATTTTTGTCTTTTGTTTCAAATTATTGTGCAGGCTTTTGGTATGGCAGAAACAGAGATGGAGTATAGGGTTGAATTGTTTAACAGGTATGTCGCTGCTCTATAATTAAGTGGCATATTTGGCCAACAAAATCATCTTGTTGAAATTTGTATTCTATAAAAACTTGTTTAAGAGAACTCTCCAGCTTAGGAGTTTAGGAAGAAACTGAGTTTTTTGTGTAAGAACTCTCTTTTATTTTATTTCCAGCATAAAATATTAATTATGGAGAATAAAAGGGAGAACTTCACCTAGAAATTAAGTCCCCACCTAAACAGAAAACATATAAATAGAATAATGACGTGAATTACGAATTGAAAAACAAGGAAAATAACTAAATAGAAAACCAAAACAGGACATGTGAAATTAAAATTGACAGATCTCCAGATCGGTTGGTTTTCTCTTGCTCTTTTATTGCAGTGGTAATAGACCTGAGCGTCAAATACCCAAAAGATGACTGGGTCTACTGCCCAAATCAGTTGTTTTCTTAAAAATTTGTCGGTGCTTTGAGGCTTATCAATTTTGGGATGCATCAATTTTGATTTGTAATACTTTTGTTTTCTGACTTTAGCCTTGTTCTTTTGACTCAGGCTTGCCCAAACATGCTTCAATAAGTGTGTTGACAAGAGGTATGGTAATCATTTTGCGTCTTCTTTTTTTTTTTCGGTAACTTGAGAAAGCATTTGTCGAAACTGAGAGATCTGACTGCAGCCAATAAGAAACTTGTTGTTCTTGAATAGGTACAAAGAAGCTGAATTAAATATGGGTGAAAATAGTTGCATTGATCGATGTGTTTCAAAATACTGGCAGGTAGGCTCTACAATCCATAAATTAACTGTCTTCTGAGTTTAGGTTGTCTTTTGCTTTACTGTTATTTATGTAAAACTTTCTTTTGTTGTTTCTTCATTATTTTCCATTATGGCTGTTTTTTCTTCCTCTCTATTCTGTCTTGCCATAGAAGTTTCTGCAGCAACTTAAATTATTTGTTGTTGATGTGATATCTTAGACTGTCTAACCAGTGCCCTAGGCTAGACAGAGGTATATATTTGTTGTGTAATGAAATGCCTAGCACTTTGGTTGGCAGGCCTATAGAGCTACAATTTCTCTCCTAAACTTTATGCTTTTGGAACTTTGGAGTGACAAAGATTGTCGATACATAGAATGTAGTACTTTTGGGTGAGCATTGTGCATACGTTAGACAGCTACTTTATATGTACATAAGCCTGGAAACTTATATATAAGCCATAAACTTATTTTCATATTAATCCATTTTGAAAGCATTAGTTAAATACAGCTAAAGTTCTTAACTTCTGTCCATTTTGTTAAATCAGGCTCTGGCATTTTTATTGTGCTTAATTAATTCTGGAAAGTTTATAATTTTATTTAATTTGGTGCTCTGTTAACTATCAATTTAACAATATTAAATCTAGAGTTCCGTTACATGCCACATGATACTTGGCATGTTTCATCATTTACAATATTCATGTCAGTATCTTGAAAAAAATACAAAAAACAAGAAATAGAAGACAAGAAAAATACTGTCAGACTAAAGAAAAATCAGGAGAAACTTCACCTGTTGTCTTCATCTTGTTCATCACTCTGCGTTTCATGGTCAAAAGAAAATGCAGAATGATGATAAGGAATGAGTGCAGCATTGGTAATTTTTCTTGTTTTCTAGCAATTTTCATTTCGATTATGAGGTGGTTTTAAAAATTTTTTTTAGTATATTGGTATAGCTGGTAAATGATATA